AAACTTTTATATGTAACATGTATTCGATTTTTGTGTAATATTTTTTTGGTTGATCTACTTATATAAGAAATGATCTACGTTCATCCTACCCTTAAAATTATCAATAATAGGATATTAATCTTCATTTTTCTTTGCTAAAACTTTTGCTTTTTGAGTAATCATATTTTGTAATACAGCATATCCTTTATTCTGAATACTGTTAATTGATTCAATAAGTTTTGCTTCTGAATTTAACAACTCTTGCTTTTTTGAAGTCCATTCACGAACTTGTTTTCTTTGAATTCCAAATTTTTTTGCTGTTTTATGTACTAAATTTTCTTGTTCCTTATAATAAACTACTATTAACTTTTTGCACACATACCAGAAATAGCTTTGAGAAACCTTTTTACATACTTTTCGAATAAATATAGTTCGTCTAGTTATTATAATAAAATAAGTTAGGATGTTTTCTGTTTTACTGATGTGCTATTTAATTATAATAAATTTCTTAATAAATTATTTAATTATTGTTACATAATGATGCATTTATTATGATTAATTACTATATAAAATGTTTATTAATAATTATATAATTAAAGTTTGTTTTAATACCCGCTTTAATTATAGACTCCCTAATATAGTATCTGCTTCGATTATAATACCTCCTAGTATAATACCCACTTTGATTATAATACTCTTCTATTATAATACTCGAGTATAATTAAATATTTTCTTATGCCCCTGGGTATTTTACTTTACAAAATATAGTATTTTTATTTTTTAAAAAATAAGACAAATATGAATTTATAAAATTTAAACAGCCAAATTTGACCACTTAAATAGACGGTTTAAGGGATACCTATATATTAAACTTAAACATTCAAACTTACCTCTTATCTAACTTCTAAATTACTTTATAGATTACTAAATTACTTTGATAGTTTATAAACCAGAAGGTATTATTTTGATTTTTTTAGATTAGGGTCTCGTAGCCTAGTGGTCTGGGCGCCTAACCCTCCACAGACGAGGTCAACAGTTCGATTACAGCTGGTAGTAATTAATTTAATTAATTATCTCTGTAACCTTCGGGAGCTTTTGAATGCGAAACCCTGTGGCAGTAAGACCATGTGAGTATATATTTGGCTGATAAAGAATTCTTAGAAGGAGCCCCGAGCCATAGAGAAGACTGGGCACTATGTGTGACATGGGTCACAGAAGGTATGTATTACTGCAGAAGGCTGTGTGTGTGAATCCATGATTGGCAAGGTAGCACCAACAACCCTAAGGTGGCATTGGGATCTTG